CGACGATCCCGGCGAATAGCCATTCTCTCAACGTGAATGCGACTCTCAATGGCTGTGCCCTGACACACTCTGGGTATCAGGTCGTGCGTTCAGGGTCTGGTGTAGCATTTGCCCTCGCCTGAAGGCGGTTTTCGTGACAGTTAAGGGGTCTCCACCTACTGTCTTCGCCTCGGAATTAGGCTCCTATAGGAGTTCAGGAGCGTTTATGACTAGGGGCGAGTCACGTCCAGTTGGCGCAGAGGTGCCGGCGGTGGTCTTACGGTGGATACAAAGGTGGGCATTTCAATATCTTGAAGTGTTTTGACTTCCACACCGCTAAGAAGTAACGCTACTTGATTAGATTATCTTCCCTGTATCTAATTCTGCGCCCGCCCCCGGCACGGATATTATCGAGTTCAGTAGACAGGATCTCTTTGGTCAACACACGCTTCCGGGAAGGAAACCCACCGATATCTTCGCTTTAGACCTAGAGGATTTGCCCAATTTTGCTCGAGAGCGGCTGACGCGGTTAATGGGACTTGCTCCGGCCTGAGTATCTGGGTGATACAGAGGAATCACCAAGATGGACAAGCACCTATCCGCGCAATCCTACTCAACAGGGTAGATGTCGATCTCTTTCAAGGACATCTGGCGGATAAGCATTCAGTAGAGATGCAGCCCGTCAGTAACTCGCTGGTCAAACAGACACGGTACCGTCCCGCGCCCTTTTACCTGCAGCCGAGCCAGCTGGCTCCATGGCATGATCCGGCGCAACTTGACGGCCAGCATCTTCAAGGCGAGAATCAATATATGCTCCGACGCCTCTATAACTCAATAAAAATTGGAAACAAGATTCCACAGACGAGTGGCCCAACCTTGTCCTGACTGGCCTTCGCTCCACCCGTGGCAGACGGCGCACAGGGGGTGGATTAAGTGACAAGTATATTACCCTTTAACCCTTTCCTGGTATCAAGGTCTGTTCCAGGAATGGTCTCAAGCGGAATATGCCTTCTATTAATTAATTCTTTCGCATGTTTACGGCACTGGACGTGGGTCACTGCCATGCTGTACTTTGCCCGACGACGCAATCAATCAGGAAGTACGTCTTTGAATTTCCGCATGCGTACTTACCTAGCACTCGGGCGGGACGAACCGATAAGACGCGGAAGCGTGGAAAAGACAGCATTTTCGGAGCATTGCCCAGCAGCCTATGCCGCGCACCTGAAGTCACCCCGCACGGGGTCGAAATCCAGGAAGTGAAATTCGAGGACATCTCGGTCTTGAAATTCATACTCCTCCACAGCACTCTGCTCGTGGCTAGCGCATACCCTGCTGTCAAACCCCTCGACATCATGGTGCATCAGTGGAGGCTGAGCGGACTTCATTCGTTCAACAAGAACCACTGTCACTGAAGCCCGGCACCTGCCTGCTTCTGTTCGGACCTGCTCTCCGGTGATTCTTGGGTTTGCTTTTCCTGTGTAGTGAAGCCGGACATGTCGTGCCAGAATTTGACACCAAACATTGCTTCTCTGGGCGGCTTATTGGATCTGCCGCACCAGTGCAAAGCTGGTGATGTCGACATTGTCGCCACTGAAGCATTGATGAAGGCTTATACCGTCAAAGACTTCAAGCTCTCCGATATTGCGACCATTGTAATCGACTACTTCCGCATGGTTTGGGTGTCTGTGCGAGGCAGCCAGGAAGCCATCTGATGCTCGTGCGGGTGGGGTCCTAGGCAATTCAGGTTCCTTGTACAGAACCACATGTATGCTGACATCAAGGGTGGTAGAATAACATGCTGCGAGCTGTTGCTCCGCACGCTCTTTCTGAATCTCGGGCACTCGCTTCATCGATGCATGCGCATCTTGCGTACGGCCTTCCCTCCTCACCACTAGTGCCCATCGCCTCCTCCCATCTCCCTCCCTCGTGTGCTGGCTCCCAGCCACGAAGCAGGGCGACGAGATAGCAAGGACTTTTTCCGCTGCGCATGGATCTGCATTTCAGAGTCAATTCTAGACCGTACGTGGGCGAGAACCTTATAGACCCATTCTCCTCTTGAAGAGCATCTCACGGCAGGTCTACACGTCCAAAAAGGATGACTCAATGGGGCGTCTGCGTTGAACTGCCTTGCGGCCTTGAGCGCTGTTGCTTGATATAATCGTCAGTCACCGCGCCGCAGTTATTACTCGGCTGGATACGTCAAATAATCCTACTGTTGCCCTTTTCCCTGGTGGCATCCGGTAGATTGGACCCCACGCTTCAAAGTCCGGCATGCATGCGTGGTATTGGCTTGTGCAGCATTCCTGGCTATAAAAGTGATGCTCGTTGTTCCGCGACTCATGGACAGCAAGACGCGCTTTTTCTCCCTAGCAAGGATGTGTGCTCGCCAGCGCGATTCTTGGTGTTTCATCTGCGCGAGCGGGGGTTTCCAAGGGGCCTCCTGTTGCTCCTCATACTTATACGCGGTGATGTTGTCGCCTAGCTCTTCAATAGACTGGTATAATGGCTTGACGTACCCTAGCCACTTGACTAGACAACAAGACCAGAGGAACAACATTGTCCACCCTGAGCATGTACACATGCGAATGTTCTTCCTGTCCTCACGCCCACTGAGACAAGGCCTCTGGTTACTCTGTTGCCCACCCTGGAGGTCTGCAGCCATGGTTGTCGTGCGCTTCTCATACCCTGGACAGGACATCACAATGGGCCCCCGTCCAGGGTGCGTGCAATACTCGACTGCCTAGCTCTGAATGAGTCAGAACACGAGTACCCGATTAACCAATGACCTTGTCAGACGACCCCTGCGTGAGCCAAGGTTTGTTCACCGCGAGTGCACGGGTGGTGCTCAATATGCAAAACGGGTGAATAAACCACTACTGACGAACGTCGGGTTTATGTGGCCCCGCCCTGGTCTGGTTAGGACGGGAACTATTTGAGCTCGTGGCCTACCTCAAGTTCTTTCTAGGAAATTAAGGCCAGAACGGGGCGACGGCTGCTAGTGAGGTTAGCGATGCATTCCAGGACATCCGTGTCCGCCATCTTGACCACCCATTAAAGTTGGAGATTGACAAAACTGACGTCTAGCCAGAGGCTCCGGTTCTTCTTGGCCTAGGTCCACCACCTATGCTGGGGAAGAGTGAAGAATTGGCACGGACAAGGCCGGTCAAGAGCCTCTCAGCATTACGTGTTTGCAGTGGTTCTTGATGGGCCTCATGATTGCTTGTCTCGCAAGGGTACTGGATGTCCCCCTCTTTGTCGCACCAAGACGTTGAACTTTCGCTAGGGTTAGAAGAGGAAAAGGCAGTAAAGGCATGGGTGCTAAAGTACCGCGAGGCCCAGGCCCAACGTGAAAAATTACAGGCATAGGATTTCGCATACAGCGATGCCACTACACTTGGATATGTGGTTAACGCCTAATTGACCACCGCACACCCCCTGCTCATCGAAACGAACTCAATACCGACCACTACTGAATTGACTGATGAAATAGCCATAGTCTCGAGTTTTTGGAGGGATTCGGCCCAACCAAGTGGACTATCTTCTTCCATGCTTGTGACTACGGCATGGGCGCTTATTAATGTCTCGAAAGCACCGAGCGCGATCGAGGATAAATCGCCTACCTGATGACCTACGGGTGCGTCCACAGCAAGAGATGCCCAGGAAATGATCGAAACCTGCGGCAGCGACGATGGCTGGCGAGGACCTCTCAAGTTGGGAAGCAGTGTTGGCCTATCCATGTCAGGAAGCCACCCCGGTATCCCACATCTAGGTTGATGATGATGCGGCAAATGATACGCTCTCTATGCTTTCCTAGCCATGGTGGTTGGGGTCAAACGAGGTGTCCGACAACTCCGTTTACATCCATGCTCGTATGGTACCATGGGTCCAAGCGCAATATCACCTCCAGGCTACAGGCAGAATCTACGCCACCTGTATCGACGAATGGTAAGAGTGACGAGTAAACAATGAGTGGGATAGAATGCGAGAACGCAGTTGATCAAGCTCCCAGTAACGGACACGGACACGGATACGGACACGGATGGCGCTCATATACATGCAATGAATGAGGGTCTCGCTACTCAGAGAACTCCAACACTGCAACATTGTGCCGCTGGCAATCTATATCTCCATTCCGGCGAACATGGCCTGAAAATCGTGAACGGCCGCTGCCTTCCTCTGCCTGGTACAGCCGCTGCGCGTTTGCTTCAAAGAGGATCCCCTTTCAGGCGGCTCTTGACCAATCTCCAGGAGTGGTACATCTTGCAAGAAAGGCTCGCACTGGTGGGTGTTAAGAGGCATAGCCAGATACACATCCGGCGCTCTGGCCGGGCTCATCTTGATCACTTCGTGGTCATTTGCTTCGAACTCTGGCTCCGGTGTCCAATTGATTAGTGCGAATGGCTCACTTCCGAACTGCAGAAACATGGGAATCTCCGAAGGGCCGTTTGGGAAAACATCAAAGTGGCATCTTTCAGTGGTGTGCGTCCCCGCCCACCATCGGCGGCTAGGCCATGTTGCGTGGTGCCTGTGTCAATTGTACTTGGCAGAAGAGTGTGTCGAGTTCACTGAGTAAATAATTGATGTCTGAATCCCTTTTGGACCATCCACTGGATCGCACCACTACTATGGGCTTCAGCAAAGTCCGCCTCATCGGGTCATGGAGTATCTCCTCAAACAGATCGATTTGGAGACGAAAGATGAAGCCTGCTCTACTGATCAAGCTGCCGCAGAAGACGATTCTCCGACTTGGTGCTCTGTCACATCTGATCATGCCGGTTTACTACAGAACTGCTTATGCATAGAGTTGAACTCGTGCTGTATAAGGGTATCTGATCGGGTGGTTGTTAGATACGCCGGTGCCCTGTCAACTTATCTCACGAGGGGAACCCCCATAGCTCTAGCGTGGAGGACCTTTCAAGCTCTACAATGCGGAATCTAAGAACAAGCGGCATTTGCGGCCAGCACATGGTACCAGTGGTACCTCCGTGAAGTTAAAGCCAGGGGCCTTGAGCTGCCTAACTATGAAGAGGTAAGTCTTCCTGTGTTATATTTATACTTCTAACTACTTACTACCTTGTGACTACTTAGGACGAAGATGGCCACCTATACTTTTACTACGGCGAGATGTTTTGCAGGATTGCTGATTGTTCGAAGGCGACTGTGAGACTTCTTCTATACTACTTATTAGCCGCTTACTAACTACTTGGGAACTGCTTAGCACAACTACAAATCCACCAACAACCTTCGCACGCATGTCGTCTCACATAAAGGATGTTTCGATGCCTGCTGGAAATGTTGGAGGGCGTGTCTCGCAGGAACTTAGATACTCGACCCATCCTACAGGTATGCCACCGAGACGCACAAGCGGTGCAGCCTCTCTCCATGGCCGCGAAAATGACCACTTCGCATGATTGGGACAGAAAGTCGGTCCGGTACTACGGGGTATGCTTAGGGCAAGGCCTCTCTTCCTGTTCATTGCATTCCGGTCGCGGTGGTGATATATTAGTACGGCCAGGCCGTGGCCGCAGGACATCCAATTTACCTCTCACCCCGGAGCAGGACGTACAGGCGGTAAAGACTTGGGCCACATTTGTTCGTCCTGCCCTTCAAATTTTGTACTGCGGGTGCTGAAAGATGTTCGAACCATGAATGATGGTGGGCTCTGTTGAAGGTGAAGAAGTCAAACCCAAACGCTTTCGTTCAGTGCTACAAGGCATCAAGAAAACCTGCAGTGCGCCATCTGGTGCTGCAACCACGCGACACCTGCTATATCAGCCCCGTGATCCAACCCTTAGGAAGTAGAGAAGGGCAACAAGCTCCAATATGGTATTCTCCAGAGGTGGGAGCGAAGTGCTTTCTGCTAGAATACAACACAGCTCAGAGCAAACAAAGAACTACGATCAGTCAATCCCATTCTCATCTCCCTGACTACTTCGCTCCTCAGCGAGCTTCTTGATGATTGATCATTCAACCTCATACGTTTCTGGCCCCTTCCCGATGGGAAAATGGAGGAAGTGGTTTCCGTCCGAGGATACATTTCCTGTTCTCAAGCCGCTATCCCCATGTCTTGTGTCCTTCGGAGTGTCCTTTAGGGTGCCAACCGGTATTACATGACAAGAGAATCTCTTTAGCCGCACACTTCTGTCACCTATGACGGGCTATGCTCTCATACTTACCCCTTCCGTGCGTCTCTCCGACGAAATCCTTCTTCGCTGCGACCCCTTTGCCGCGGGCGCTCATGGAATCTCTTGTCGTATCCGTTGAGTGCGCGCTAATCAGCATGTGGCCAGCACCAGTCCCGAGTCATGATGGAGCTCGGGCTATAGTCGACCGCAAAAGGGATCACTATCGGTCATCACTCGATCGTACCTGCTCGCAAATAGCGACGGGTGTATGCCAAGACAGAAGGAACCAGATCTCTGGGGTGCAGTCATTCCACGAGTCTACGTAATCTCGTCCCGTGTTTACGACGTACATCCAATTCCAATGGCACGCCGGCCCCGTTTCAGGGACGCCTAACCGCTATGGTACAATGCTTCAGCCCTGAACGCTAACCTCGCGTGATGCGAGTCATCGAAGAAAACCCGTACTGTCCTGGCGGCCCATGGCAGCCAACGTAGTATGGGGTTTTCCGTTTGTTTTGCGCCCTTTGTGCAAAAAGTGACTCGGGTTGTTGTTATTTATCATGACACCCAGTCGCGGAGCATGTCGGACCTGGACAGCAGCGGGCGATTGACCAACCCCAAAATACCCATGCAGTTTCCCTGGTAGTTGCCCCAGGAAATGCGACACTGCGCACGAGCACACCAAGCACTATTAACAACCCGTCAAGAATGGATTGTCGCCCGGCTACCGTTATTCAGATGAGATACGCGGGCTTGACTATAAAGAAGCGACGGGAGTACCTGTACTCTTTTATGTATGCGCTATGCCATAGTGCCATAGTGCTTAGAATCTGACCTCGCTCAACTGCAAGACTGGGCTTGATCACACTAAATTGCCCACTAGACGCCCCTCCGTGCCCAAGATTGGGTTTCACTGAGCTGAGAGTCAACACGGTGTTTAATTCACCTTTCAGTGCAATTCAGTGGAAGAGATAGAGTAACTCCGAGCTTCAGACGTCGCCATTCCCCAAACGTACCGAAGGTACAAGGAGGCCATGTCGTCGCCGTACACAGAGCGCCGGTACGCCGCGATGAAGAGACAATTCGACAAGATAACCGGCATGGAGACGTATGAAAAAGTCCCAAACCCAAAAGCTTCAAACGGCTCATTTGTGTTGCCCGGAAAGTGGGTTTCAAGAACAACATCGTCCAGCGCTGTAAAGCACGCTGGGGTATCTGTGGAGAAGTTGATTTTGACGATGCAAGCTCTCCAGCAGAGAGCAGGGGCAGGATTCACTTAGAACCTCAACGTCATGACGAACTTTCAGTAAACTGCCAACAGGGCTCATCCAACAGGAGCCCATTTGAAACCTGCCTCACCCGTAGGAATACAGCACCCTTAAGACCACAAGCTCTGCGCAGCCATCTGGATTCGGCGGTCCTGCTCTCGCGAGGTTATGCAACGTATCCCAGTCACCTCGAAGCACCGGACGACAAAGGGAAAGTTTCTGCAAGGACGTCCAATTTAGAACGGGAAAGCCGCTCCTTTCCATACAGCAAGCCAAATTCCGAGCAATTTCGCCATCCAGCCACATCCGTGGCAATTGCAAGGCGCAGCACAGATCTATTTTCAGCCCCAGATAGTGCCAGGAGCAAGCGGGGAATCTAGCCCAGCCCAAAGTCAATCAGTGGACGAGACACCCCGCCACCACAGATGATTCCCGAAGAAGCAAGCAACATGCGTTTCGTCATCGAACCGACCTTTGACTCGCGGCTGCCCGATGGCTCTATTCCCTGTCTCCACACTGCATTGCATCAGGACACCGGGCGTGTGGTCACGGACGGGACAACATGTTTAGACCACTCCTCCTGCTCTGCGATGAGCTGGAAGCTACCGTTTGCAAAAGTGAATAGGGTGTCACAAGGCACCGCGGCTCGCGGTCAAAGCAGTGCCTGAAAAGCCTTGTGTATCCGAGGAGCCAGCAGGCCTCGGACTTCAGCTTTAAGGCGAATGTCAACCTCCGATTGAAGTCGATGTACAGGGCGTACCGTAATGAAATCACCCTCTCGGGGCCACATACCTAGATGGCACGCGGATATCACATCCCCACCAGGGTTTTCCGCTTCCTTTACAGGCCCAGTCAACCCTGCGAGCGCAAGACACCGAGTTGGACAGGGTCGACTGGGGTCCTGATAGAGGCGAAATGGAGAACCTGACTCGGATTCTACGAGCATTCATGATCACGCATTCTGAAAACTCTTCCAGCCGTTCGGGAATATTTTCCGGCCATCCTCAGCTGGAAGCTGGTCATACTTTTATCGAGCGGTGTCCCTTTCGGTCATTCGAATCTCCAGTTTCAGGCAACCATTCGCTTAATCGCGCGACTCATGCAGGAAGATGGAGCATGGCGTCCATGCTTGAGAATTGTACTAGCGTTGCAGTTGTGCGATGCGTTATTCGCCAACACCACAATGCCCCTTGACCCGTGTACCCAATGTCACCCTTGGGCGGGCTATGATTAACAGCATATTGCGTTGCTTGGTGGCGGGGACATAATGAACGGACTGGGCGTATCGTGGTACAGTGCCAGTTGACAGTGTTCGTCGATACTGTACGACAACTACAACCGTTGCACGGACCTCATCGCCAAGACCAGTGACTTGACCGATATTCAAACAGTTGACAGCGCAACATGGGCGAGTCTGTGGCTTTCCAACATTCAATGATTGCATGAGCTGGTCGACCTGTTCGTGGGAAATCGGCCGGGTCCAGTGTTTGCCGCACTGAACAGCGTCGAAATTGCCCATATGCTCTGATCTTGTAAGTACTAACTATGGATAAGCATCCCTTACATGTTCAAAGACAGGCCTTTCACGAATGAGTGATAACGCTACTTAGGGGCGGCTCGTTCTCGAATACGTGATGACGATGTTCCGCCAGCTGGAAAAAAGAGGAGATTTGAGGAAAGCCACCGGAGACAACACCAGTCGACGAGCCTATTCCAGGGCTCCTTTCTCAAGAGGTTCAGAGAAAGCTAAGAAGTTGGTAGGCTGATCCTTCGCTTTGAATATCTGGACACAGATGTTTCCCGCCTTCTATGTCAATATAGAATCATTACTGACACATACCGAATGGACAGTAGGGACACACTGTTCTCCATTGGAGGCGTCCTCTTCATGTCTTCCGCAGTCTGAGGCTGATTCTTGTCTGGGATGGAGATGCTACATGCAACGGACATGAGTCCTTCAATGTTAGTGTCTGGGCCTCTGCATCGTGCAAGGGCTTCAGATTGCATCTTCAAACCCTCTGTGCCACTGGCGCCTTCCTCAGTCTTTGAATTGTGTCATGGGTCCTTCGATTGACGGATGCATAACTCTATCGAACAACGTCTGAGGCGCCCCAACTGCCACGTCAACCAAGCCGCATTAACTCAGCCACAGAGAAAGTACCCACTATGCTCGCAATTAAACCAAAGCTTGGACGAGTTAGACTCTTCCCTGGGAATCAGATATTCTTGGCCCTGCACGAACCGAAACTCTTGGAAACTTCCTCACTTTATCGCCAAGCATACACGCCCTCTTGGGCAAAGCGAGCTTTGCCCTGAGACCGGTCCAGCTTTCAGTCAACTAAAAGAAGCTTACTATATAATTCCACTAGCTTAGCTAGTACATGAGTGCCTACAAACAACACTCAACTCCACCATCTCCACCAACCAACCGAGACGCTACTATGGCGGGAACAAGATTTTTCGACTATTACGTACAACATTACTTTAAGACTAGGGATATTTTGACCGTCCCTACTAATAACTTGGAGGGTTTACCACTCCCGTTTTGTTCGGAGGCTACTATAAACACCCGTTTATGATGGTGTGGCACAGTGGAGGGTTATGAGCGATTCGCAGAGAAGTTGGCTTCAGACCATGCGTGGTGCTGAGGAGCTTCAATGGCGAGTGGGCTCCCATCTCAAGAGGGCGAATGTACACGATCCGGTTGTGTTCCAACAATTCACAAAACGTCCACGGCCTCCCTCGAGTTGGCAAAGAGCAGTCCACTCCGTGCTGGCGCGCGAAGATAGGAAGACAGAACTTCTGTTCAGTCACCAGGCGAATGGATAGCTCTTTCCTTGAAGGCTCTCTGGCTTGGAGTCCACCACCTACAGGGCTTTCTGCGCTAGTCTCAGTTGGCCAAGCGTGCGGGGATGTTGGCTGCCAAAACTCGCGTGGGGCGTTGTTCAAATCAAAAGGGAGACGCTTGATAACTATTGGAACCTTAAACTGGCGCCTCAAGCTTTTGTGTGGCGGGCG